TTCAAACCATCGGCAACCTCTCCCATGCCTAGAGTTGTTGAAGGACTAAACATCCTCCCACCGAAACTTTGTCCGCCTTCGCTGCTTCACATAAGTTGTGGTACAAATATGGCAAAACAGCCGAGCCCCAACTCCTCCTAGTCATATTCTCTAAGTTGTTTTGCAACAACTCAAGAAAGTGCAATGACGCTCTACTGTTAGTGCTAGGGAACAACAACCCACTGAACAACTGCCAAATCAACGCTTTCGTATGACGAATAATGTCAAGTTCTGTGCTCCACAATGATAACAAAAAGCGCTTAATGGCTAGCAATCTAATGTTGTTGGATGATACTATATCCTTATCAAATGGCCTGAAACAAATATAATCATCACACATTTGCATCCATTCATTCTTACTATGTCCCATCGGACCAGTAAGTGGGAGACCATCAATAGGTAACCCGATCAGCACCTGTACATCTTGCAATGTAATGCCTACCGCACCAAATGTTGAATGGAAAACATGTATTTCTGGTCTGCACCTCTCAACCAAATCGGTGATAAGACCCCAATCAATATTGATTTTTCCTAAACGTTCAGGACCGTGAAAGCATGATGCCCTCAACAGTTCTACGACTCTAGGATGAGGTTCGCCATCGTCGTAGGCGGATTTGGGGAAAGTAATGCACCTCAATTTGAAGTCTCTCAACGTTTCGGTTTTCCACACATGATCAACACGATGTTCTCCGGGTCTCATCACCAATACAGAACGTTTTATGGGCCCGGGATGAGGGTGTTCTCTTTGTGTAGCCATGAAAACCTAATAATATATTAAATTAATTTCTATTCAACACTCATGTGTAATACGAATTATAAATGTAATTAAACAACACTATTATAATACAATTTCTAATACTCCGTACCTAATTACAAATTTAATTAAACAACACTATTTATAATACAAATTATAAATCTAATTAAACAGCACTACTTATAATACAATTGTTGTAAGACAAAAAATACAGCTAACTAAACAACAAGATTGCTATTTCAAAATTAAAATCTCTGACTATAATTATTGATCTACAATAATTAATAAGTAAAATAATTGGATATAACATATAATGCGTACAATTTATTGTATTTCCATCTTATATGGCATCCAATATCTAAACATCGCTAATTAACACATATATATATATCATATAATTTTTAACACTAATTAAATTTTTTATTTCATAATTAAAACTTAACATTAACTATAGACTAATAATATTTCGTATATTAAAACAAATTATAGACTAATTTGTACACCAGAATATGAAAGATTTCTGCAAACGAATGATGAAAAAATTATTAAAAATAAGGTTAACATGCACATTAGTAAATTTACACATACATATTCGGTAAATTAACACTTACCTTTCCTATTTGGTAAATAAACTAATATTTGGTAAGTTTCCTATTTCACTTTTTTTTATAGGTTCCTAATTCACATTTAAAAATTAACACTAATATGTAAAATAATTGGATATAACATATAATGCGTACAATTTATTGTATTTCCATCTTATATGTCATCCAATATCTAAACATCCCTAATTAACACATATATATCATATAATTTTTAACACTAATTAAATTTTTTATTTCATAATTAAAAATTAACATTAACTATAGACTAATAAAATTTCATATATTCAAACATATTATAGACTAATTTGTACACCGAAATATGAATGATTTCTACAAACGAATGATGAAAATATTATTAAAAATAAGGTTAACACGCACATTAGTAAATTTACACATACATATTCGGTAAATTAACACTAACCTTTCCTATTTGGTAAATAAACTAATACTAGGTAAGTTTCCTATTTCATTTTTTTATAGGTTCCTAATTCACAATTAAAAATTAACACTATTATAGACAAATTTCATTCCTAATTAACATAATTAAATTATTAACTAAATTAAACTAAAAAAGATGAAGGAGATGGCCGAAATTTGGAGAAGAAGAGAAATTGGAGCGGTTGGATGTTAGATGTATTGTGAAGTGTGATTTGTGGTGGATTTTATAGAGCAGATTCGTCAAATATGTTCGAATAATCAGCGATCCGAGCCAACTTATTTTGACCAATAGGAGCATGGACATATTCACCGAATATGTTCAAGTAAAAGCCGATCCACGTCCTTCAATTGGCGATCCAAGATGGTGTTTGCATGGTGATCTGCGCTCAATATTATTGGTCAATAGGAAGATGCCCAAATTTACCAAATATGTTCAGGTACATATTTTTTTGTTTTTGTAAATACCTAACATATTTGCCGAATATGTTTCACCTTTTCAAATAATAATTTGGTCAAATCTTTTCCGTTATAGCAAGAAACACTTTTTAGAAACATCTGCAAGAAACATACTCTGTTCTGTTATTCTCTCCATTTTCCTTCTCTTCTTGAAAAAATGGTACTCGATTTGTTGTCACATCATACTAACCTGCCAATCGGCGAAAAGTTGGATGAATTTCTCATACATTGAAATCTTACGACAATTATTGAACATGTTATTGAAACATGTAGAGATATTTTTTTCGTTAACATATCGAAACTATATATACTATCCTATCATATCTTTCATATCTTCCATATTTGTTTAGGAATGACATCCAAATATGTGAATGTTTTCTAATAGATAGCTAATATTGGGATACCACTAGCAGTATGTAGAGAGAAAGCAATATTGGGATACCACTAGCGGTATGTAGAGAGAAAGCAAAACTATTAAATAGGAGAGACGGTGCAATCGTATTAATGATTTTTCGAACCATTAGATTTGTCCACTGGAATGCTATTTATACTAGTCTTAGTCATAAATGCTAAGTGCATTAAATGCATATACACGTGTAAACTAGTATATGGCGGAAAGCACTGATGTGGCACAGATGTGGGCACGTGATTGAAGTATTAAATGTGGTGGATGAGTGTTGCGAAGCGTTGATTCTGAAAGTCTCCTGAGTCAGGGCCGAGGGCTTCACTCTAGGGGCTGAGGGGATAACTCCGTGGACTCACACTAAGACGGAAATGTTGTAATCCGCATGCATGGAGTGACCTTTCTATGCGAAGGCGTTTGTTCGAAGCCGTCGAGCTTGGGCTCGAGGGGCCTCCAGTTGTCTCTTTGGGCCGCTCGAGGTGGTTGATGTGGCGAAGTATGTCGACGGGGGGAGGGGGGTCCTGGGTCATATAATTCATCACTTTCTAACTCATTATCAACTTTTTTTTTAAATTCATTACTGTTGTGGGTACTTCATGTTGTCAAATGATGTTTTCCTGGACCATATACTCCATCATTTATTGTTTTGAAGGTATGAAAGAACCATGCACGGGTAGCTCAATTGGTAAAGCGGTGGGAAAGTTGGAGAAATGATCAAAGATCGAAACCCGCATCAACCGTGTGGAGGTCACAGCTCCTATGTGCTGGACTGAGTCTCTGGTGCGCACTGTTATAATGTCTACCATCGTTAAGTTTGATTGAGTCACCATGATTTACAACCTCCCATGTTAGTCGGGGTGTAGGGGCCTGGGGATTGGGGATTCAACTTTTTGGACAAATTGAAGGTATGGAAGATATTTCACCTTTTGAATCTCAACGGGTGCATCCCATAAAGCAAAATCAATGATGTTATGTCAACGCAATATGGTTCGATGATGTTATCTCATCATATGGTAGATTTGAGGGGGAAATGTCATATAAACTCGCATACTTCTTCAAAAAAATCATCCTTATTCTTCAAGTTCAAACTATTGAACTCTCTAATCTGTAAAAATGTTCAATTACTCAGTTTAGCCGGCTGTGAATAAGTTTACCCCGTTAGTTTCATCCATAGTTATCACGAAACATGGCGACACAAACGTGATGGATCAGGATCCTTCAAGACGAAGAACACAATCATGATGTAAATTATACACCATTCATGTAAAAGCATTAGAAATTTACGGTTTATCACAAGAAAATCAAGTCAGATTACCGAAATCGGATAAAGTAAATAAAAGCATGAATAGCCAAATCTTATTAATTAAGTAAAACAGAAAAAGAAAAATTGATTATAGAGTGATGCATGAATAATAGCACAAAGATCAGTCTCCCAAATCACCAATAGTTCAAATCAAAATAAAATAATCTCTTAATAGTTCATTTAAGATAGATATATAAACAAGTTAAGTTTTTTTTGCAAATATATTACTTTTTTTACCTATCCAAATATAATAGTTATCACTATAAAATATGGATAAAAATATGACTAATATTATTATAAATATATAGAAAAATGCTAGGTGTACCCTACCTCATTTGCACATCTTGTATGTCTACGCGAACAGAGTTGTCTGTTCAGAACTACAAAGCTGTCTACTTAAGGACAACTATGTCTTTGTGGATAGATAGTGTATGCGAATGAGGTACACAAAATGGGGTAACTATAACATTTCTCAAATATATATTCATGATCATTATGGCATACAAAATGAACATGATTTTAGTGAGCTCGACTTTTCAGTCTGGGTATCGAGTATTTATGAAGAAAATCGATTTCCATACAGACAAAATATCAAGAGTTGTCTGTATCACAGACATTTTAAACCTGAATTTTTCATAAAGTGTCTGTGATACAGACATTTTTTTATTTTTATAATTTTATCTGTGTGAAAATCTGTTTTCTTCGTAAATCGTCGTTCAATATGTCTGTGTAGTCGATCAAATTGCCTGTACACATACAATTTGACAAACGTGTACCACAGCGTGTAAAACTTGACGTGTACGAAAGGAATTTTCCTAAAAGCAAAGGCAAACAGAATCCGTCAAACGTTAATATCAGGCTGGTCAAGGGACGGTTTGGGTAAATTCTTTCGGGTATTCCCACCTAACGGTAAATAAGAAAGAAACTACCGCATTCGGATTTCCGGGGGAACAGAAAAGAAGTAAGGAATTACGGTGTAGAAAAATGACCGGCCGGACTGACCTGGACGTCGAATTCAACGAAATCAAGACCAACTTTTCCGGCGTTCAGGAAAGAACGGATTGTATTCTCTCTGATAGCCTTCATTCTCCGATCGGATAACTCCAGCATATTCATCCCATTTCCTCTGTGACCCATCACCACAAACCTCTTCTCCTTCTCCCTCCACATCTTCACGCCTCTTCTCCCGTCGACATTTCCATTTTCTCCGCCGCCTGATCATAAGATCCAATATTTTTGAGAGGATGATAAAATCCAAAATAAAAACCCCATTAAATTTTATTCCCGTCCAATAATGCAAGAAAAATAACCAATTAACTCAGAGATCTGCAAAGATGTATATATTTTCAGAAAATACAGACCGACCTTGGGCAGAAGTGGGGAGGCAGAACTTAGCTCCGTCATTTTCTGGTACATTATCAAGAAGATGCTTTTCTGAAACAGGGACAGCCCTTACAGCCATTTTTATGCTTCTTGCAAGAAATTGCAATAAATTAAAACACCATCCATGAAAAATCGATCATCAGGAAGTTATTTTATATATGTACATCATTCATATATACCCCATACATAAAGAATCAGGAGGATAATACTATTATTAGGATATATATAATAATCATTCTGGATCCATCCTGGAGAAAGGTTTTGAGCTATATATAATGGCTCATTTTAAAACAACAAGGAATAATAAATGTTGGATGCAAATTGAAGAAAGAAGATAAAGATTGAACCTTGATCGATCCCATGACGTGGATACAGCTAATACTCTGTCTGAATTTTTATCTGTTCTGGTTTTTTCTTTCAAGTTCTTCACGTATGCAGGAAGGTGAAAGATGTACGGTTGTGTCATCGATTACGCCAGAAATGCAAGTTCGGACAGTGGGTCCCACTTCATGCCGTGTAATTAATTTTTTAATCGCATACGTAAAAAACCGTATTCTCTTGTGTGGGCGTAGCTCGACCGCTAGCGAAGGAGTGTCATAAGTGTTAGGTCTCGGGTTTGAATTCCGTCAACTGCGATGAGAGATTACTACGCTAAAAATGCATTGGACTTCTGCAAGTACCGGAGACAGAGCCCCACTTTCTATCTGTCAGATTGTGATTATAGTCAAATTTACATCCTTCCAACGTACTCTTCGATCGGTGTTGGGAGGCCCTCAGGGATGTGGTGTCATCCTTTTTTTAATAGCATACTTAGTATTCATTGAGCAGTTGAGTATTTATGAATAAGCCGTGTTTGGGGCTTAATTATGGTATTTATGAATTTATGTTTCACTGGATGTTTAAATTTTGATTTCATGGCTGAATAATAATGTAATACGAGCAATAAAAAGTAAGATTGGAATTATTATATTATTGCAATGTATTAGTTAAATTTCATCAAAAGAATATTTTAGTTTTTTAAAAAAAAGACAATTCTAGTTTGTTGTATGAGGTTTTTCGTAAAATACTACTAGTATAAAATATATGGATAAAATTGTGATATAACATTCGAATACAATTATGTTCACTAAAGTTACCAAGGTAACATTTTTGTTCATTGATTTTATTTTAGTTATATATTTGAAATTATTTCTTGTTATACACACTTTTATATACTCCATATTATTTCTTCATTTTGTTAATTCTATGTAAAATTCCGTAAAATTTTAAATATAGAAATTGTTATGAATTAGACTAAAATTTCGATAAAGGAAATAGATTCAATTGATTTTATGAATTTGATGGTTATTTTTAAATGTGAACTTGATTATTAATAAAATGGTCGTAAAATAAATCTCACCTGCCTATTAATTAACCACCCTTCTTATTTACAAGTACGTGTTAAATGTCATTCATGGACAGTATGAGTTGCAATTCTAGCTCAAGGTTTCAAATGTCGCCTAGAATGCCATCGCCTTTTCTGTATGCGTATCAAAACAATTCATATTTTACGCTCGGAGGTCAATATGGTCGAGGAGGTGGTTGAGGGGGCAAGTGAAGTGGCGGGCAAGGCGGGCGACAAGGCAAGGGTCAACACGACTCAAATTCCCAGCTTAGTGCGGAATTTGATTTCAACTCATTTTTGAATCCTGATCAACACCCGTTGAATCTTTAATAGCTAGTAGATTAAATTTTAAGTTTCTATTATTTATTTTGGTTGTAGGAATTTTCTTGTTTTGATGTGTTATTTGGTTTGTCACAGATTTAGTCCGTGACAAATCAACATCATCATCACTATAGTTATCATCATCATAATCCTAGTCATCATCATCATCACCATCATCATCACCATCATCATCATCGTCATCGTCATCATCACCATGATAATGATGATGATGATGATGATGATGATGATGATATAACTAAGGACGACAAATAGGATACTAACTACAATAATATTATATAAGGCAAATAAACTAGTTTAGCTCAAAAAAATTACAAAACACGAGCATTTTATTACATGAACGACGAACAACGATACAATTTAAGTTTATAATAAACGACCAACATTCGAAAATAAAAGACACAATTAATTAGGTGATTTAACGATTTCCAACTTCAAATTGGTTTGTTATCATCATCTTCACTTTTCACTTTTGCAGCATTGCATTTGTCTAGTATTTTTTTATTTCTGCCTTAGCTGCATCATCAATAGGCATCGTATAGTGAAACGTTGCTCTCAAATAATTAATTCGTTGCCCCCAACAAATCCCTTTTGTCGAGTCTTTTTCACCTAAACTCTCTGGTTTTTCCATTGCTCTGAGGTAATACAAAAGATAAACAATATGTATTTTAATTTATTTTTCAAAGTGCTACATAGGCTATACATACAAAAGAAACAGAGAAAAAAACTCAAATCGGTCATGAAAAAATGATTCACGAAGCTCAATGAGCAGCTCTGTGACAGCTCAGTGGATGAAGTCCACCTACTTTTCTATTTGCTAGATGGTGCCATTTTTCAAGTGAATAAGGCGGCCAAAATGGATGAGCTGAATTGCTTGCCAAGGATGGACGTACTAGGGGTGTTCGTCAGTTCGGTTTGGTCGGTTTTCGGTTTGATCGGTTCGGTTTGGTCGATTTCGGTTTTAGAAAAGGTGAAACCGAGAACCGAAACGCAGTACTTGAGTCGGTTTCGGTTGGGTTTCGGTTCGGTTATTTTCGGTCGGTTTGGACGGTTTCGGTCGGTTTTAGCATGTTTTTTGTCAGTTTTTATCGGTCGGTTTCGGTTCGGTCGGTTTTTTAACCCAAAAGATGAAACCGTAAACCGAACCGTCAATGATTAGTCAGTTTAAGTCGGTTTCGGTTTGAGTCGGTTTCGGTTTTGGTCGGTTCAATTTCGGTCGGTTTATCGGTCGGTTTCGGTTTTTCGATTTTTTTGTTCACCCCTAGGACGTACCATGGAAAAGCAAGAGAAAGGGAAAGGGAAAGAGAAAAGGGAAAAACGATAAATATGCCATGTCACACGATTACAACCGGGAACCGGTCATTAATAGGTTGAAATAACGATTTGCCTCATTTTTTATAGTTTGTGGGTTTAATTGAACGATATTTGAGTTGGTGGACTTAATTGATATTTTTGTAATAGAAAAGGAACTATATGACACTTTTCCTTAAATACTAAAACGAATCAAATATCAAATCAATATATGATTATTTATATTTCAACAAAAAACACACCGGGCATTCACCTAATCGTGCATCGCACGTGTTAATAACTACTATCTCCATCCCGTTGGAAGGTTACCATAACAAAACAACACGATTATTTAGGCAATAATAAAATAAAGTATTTCGAGTATAAATTTGAGAAATAATTTTAATAGGTATATATTATAATGTAGTTAGTAATGATAACTGTGATGTTATAAATATATTATTTTAAATATTTAATGATTAATTTGTCACTTAAGATTATTGATTATTTCCTAAAATGAAAATGAGAACTTTTATACGAACCATTCAAAAAAGGAAAGTGAAACCTTCTAATGGGATGGAGAGAGTAGTAATTATTTAGATCCGTTACAATAACTAAGCTTTCATAAATGGAGTATTATGGACTTTATAGGAGCAACCAAACACTTTTATTTTGTTTTACTATTTTTATTGAGTCGTATATTGTTTTTAGTGTTTTTATTCTCACTGTTCTCTCCACGTACAATCAAATGTTTATATCGTGTTTGTTTTTCTTTAATCGATAATTCCTGTTGTACAATTTTTTTGGTACACACTAATACACACGTCCATGAACCGATTACTTTTTGTATGTTTGTGAATTGCCTATTCACATTAAAAAATGTTCACCGACCAACCAATGTAGTGTTGGAAGTATGCCCTAGGACAATCATACTTTATGATTTATCAATGAATATTTAATGCTCATTAATTAATAAAGTCACAAACTCATTTTATTTTAATTATTATCGTGAGTTTGCAACAAAACCGGTCATTGGAAGCGGAATTGCAAGGCGTATTCGGAGGAACTGAAAAGGAAGGGGCATGGTGATGCTTCCAATTCAGGTATCTATGTGATAGAAGTAAATGTTACTACTACTAGTTCATGGGTATTAGATACCGGTTTTGGTTCTCACATTTGTTCAAATGTGCAGGGACTGACAAAGAGTAGAAGGCTGGCTAAAGGTGAAGTTGACATACGAGTAGGCAACGATGCAAAAGTTGCAGCATTAATAATAGGGACATTTACTTTAAGTTTTTCCACGGGCTTAGTTTTAGAACTTGATAATTGTTATCATGTATCTGCCATTAGAAGGAATATAATTTATGTTTCTGGTTTGGACAAGAAAGGAATTCATTTTATAATAAAGAACAACATTTGTTCTATTTATTTTAATGAGATCTTTTATGGTAAGGCTAGGCTTATAAATGGACTTTATGTTCTAGACCTTGAAATGCCCATCTATCACATAAATACAAAGAGGTCTAAATCTAACGACTCAAACCCAACATACCTTTGGCATTGTAGGCTAGGTCATATAAATGAGAAACGCATTAAAAGACTCCATTATTGTGGATTTCTTGACTCTTTTGATTTTGAATCAATCGAGGAGTGTAAATCTTGTTTATTGGGTTAAATGGCCAAGTCAACATTTAGTGGTAAAAGTGAAAGAGCTCACGGTTTATTGGACCTCATACACTCGGATGTATGTGGGTCAATGTCAACAATGGCCAGAGGAGGTTTTTAGTTCTTCATAACATTCACTGATGACTTCAGTAGGTTTGGTTATATGTCTCTAATGAAGCATAAACATGAAGCTTTTGAAAAGTTCAAAGAATTCCATAATGAAGTTCAGAATCAACTTGGCAAAACAATAGAAGTCATTCGATCAGATCGAGGTGGTGAATATTTGAGTCAGGAATTTAGTGACCATCTAAGAAGTTGTGGAATCGTTTCACAACTCACTCTGCCAGGTACACCACAATGGAATGGTGTGTCAAAACGAAGAAATTGGACCCTGTTAGACATGGTTCGTTCCATGATGAGTCTCGTTGAACTACCAATCTCTTTCTGGGGTTATGCTCTTGAAACCGTCGCATTCATACTCAATAGGGCTCCAACAAAGGCTACAGAAAGGACACCATATGAGATATGGATCGGAAAGGTTCCTAGTCTAATCTTTGTGAAAATATGGGGTTGTCAAGTTTATGTAAAACCTTTTCTTTCAAATAAGCTTGAACCCAAATCAGATAAGTGCTTATTTGTGGGTTATCCTAAGGAAACAAAAGGATATTACTTTTACAACCCATCAGAGAACAAAGTGTTTGTTGCTCGTAATGGTATCCTCTTAGAAAGAGAATTTCTTTCTGAAAGAACCAGTGGGAGTAAAATACAGCTTGAAGAAATTCAAGAAGTTCTAGATAGTCAGACTATGCAAACGGTCCCACAATCTCAGCCACAACTTGTTGTAGATACACCTGAGGTAGCACTCACTCCAAGGAGGTCATCTAGGGTACGTAACGAACCAGTTAGATACATGTTTATCTTAACTGAGCATCACGACGTATTATTAATAGACGAAAATGAACCTTTGAACTACCAGGAAGCAATATCAAGCCCTCTGATAAGTCTGATTTGTTCATATATTTTCACTCACTTTTTATAGCGTTTCTTGTCAAACTCGGGGCAAATTGTTACATTTTTCTGCGTTTTTGTTGCATTTTTGTTAGTGTTTGAAATTAGTGTTGAAGTTTACATTTTTTAAGTGATTTGTGATTTATCAAATATCAGCTTGCTACTCCGTATTATATTTCAATTTGATATCTTTTAATACAAACATTTCAAAAAGAGTAAAAAAAGAAAAAAAAAGAAAACCAAATAAAACTGCAGCAAGGCTGCGTGACAAACAAAACAAAAAAAAGGCAAAAGAATAAAGAAAACAAAATGGAAAGCAGCTAGGCTGCGTTTAAAAAGAAGAAAGAAAAAAAAAGAAAAAAAAATAAAATTGAGGAGGAGATCAGATTTGATTTTTTTTGAGAGGCTGCCAGCACTTTTGCTTGTCGGCAGAAGGAAAGAAAAGGATTCAGCCGCACAAACCATTTACACTCTCAGGCCGCAGGGCAAAGGAGAATTCAGCGGCAAGTAGTTCTTGGCCAGAGAAAAAATAGACAGGCATGGTATAGGCGAGCAGCAGGTCGAAGAAAGCTTAGCAGGAAGAAGAACATAACAACAGCAACAATTCCGGTTTCATCTTTCCCTTTCAAACTTCAATAAGCTTTAAGCTTTAATTCCTGTATTAATTCATACTCCGAATTTCTGTTTACTTGGATAATTGAGTTGTGAATGATGTTTATTTACTGTTTAATTTCATCTACAAATTACTCTAGCTGTTTTATTAATAGTGTTAGTTTCATGATAATTATGTTAGGCTAAATTTCCATGGGGTTTAGATTTGGATAGAATTTAGGTTAATGGGTGTTCTTAAATATTGAATTAAATTTAGGAACTTTCTCCAGTTTTTAGGACTAGTTGTTTGAGATGAAATTGAAAGAGTAATTTGTGAAATTGATCACTTCAATTGCGAACTTTTGGAAGATTAATTCTTTCTTGTCTATGAGTTTGGAATTAATTTAGCTCACATCTCATACACCCTAAACTAAGTCTAGAAATAGAACATGTTAGGGGAATTAAAATTAAATTCTTGTCTATGAGAATTAATGTCACTATTCTTAATTAGATTGGAGAAATTATCCCATTTTTATTCATAACCAATGACACTCAAGATCCTTAAATCCAAATCTAAACCCCACTTTTAATTAGTTAATTTTTGGTTACTAGTCACATTGAATTTACCTTTTAGTATTTTATTTTCGAAACATTCCTCTACTACATGTTTGCTAGTTTAATATTTTAATTAGTTAATATTCTCTCTCAAGTTATTTTGCATGTTCACTAGTTTTAGTTTACTCATTAATGTCATTTAATTAAATTCTTCGTTACTACTTTTGTTATTTATTTTTATTTCTTTAATCACTATCACAATTAATCGTTTGAGAAAGCTTGCAATGACTCGTACTAACCGGTGACCAATATTGAAACCAACACTTCCCTCCGCCACTCCTCAGAGACACGATACTCGGGGAAAAACCGAAAGGTTAGACTCCGTTTTACTACAACGCCGCGTAAGCGGGTTATTACCCTCACTCCGATAATTGGCTAGAAGCCATGAAATCCGAAATGAGATCCATGATCGACAATCAAGTCTGGGACTTAGTTGATCTACCTGATGGTTGTAGAACCATTGGGTGCAAATGGATCTACAAAAAGAAATTAGACAAAGATGACAATGTAGATGTCTATAAAGCACGTTTAGTGGCGAAAGGTTACAAACAAATTCATGGTATAGACTATGATGAAACATTCTCGCCAGTTGCCATGCTTAAATCAATTCGGATTCTCTTAGCAATTGCCGCTCATTTTGATTATGGGATTTGGCAAATAGATGTCAAAACTGCTTTCCTAAATGAAAATCTAGATGATGACGTGTATATGATACAACCTGAGGGTTTTGAACATCCAAGCAATGCTGGGAAGGTATGCAAGCTCAAAAGATCAATATATGGTCTGAAGCAAGCGTCTCGGAGTTGGAATCTTCGTTTTGATGCTGCAAACAAAGAGTTTGGTTTCAATCAAAACGAAGAGGAACCTTGTGTTTACAAGAAATTGAGTGGAAGTGCAATCACTTTCCTAGTCTTATATGTAGATGACATACTTCTCATTGGGAATGATGTTCCGATGCTTTCGTCTGTAAAGGCTTGGCTTGGAAAGTGTTTCTCAATGAAAGACTTGGGTGATGCATCCTATGTGTTAGGGATCAAGATCTATAGAGATAGATCTAGAAAACTAATAGGACTAAGTCAAAGTAACTACATTGATAAGGTCCTACATAGGTTCAATATGCAAGATTCCAAGAGAGGATTCTTGCCTATGTCACATGGCACACATCTCAGCAAGACTCAGTGTGCACAAACAAAAGATGAGCGAGATCGAATGAATAGAGTCACATATGCTTCTGCTATAGGTTCTATCATGTACGCTATGTTATTTATTCGCCCTGATGTAGCTTGCACTCTAAGAATGACTAGTAGATACCAGTCAGATCCAGGTGATAGTCACTAGATAGCGGTCAAGAATATTCTGAAGTACTTGAGAAGAACTGAGGATGTATTCTTGGTCTATGGAGGTGAAGATCAGCTCATTGTAAATGGTTACACAGATGCTGGGTTCCAATCCGATAAGGATGATTTTAGATCGCAGTCAGGATTTGTATTTTGCCTCAATGGTGGAGCAGTGAGCTGGAGGAGTTCTAAACAAGACACGGTGGTTGATTCTTCAACAGAAGCTGAGTACATTGCTGCTTCAGAAGCAACAAAAGAAGCAGTATGGATAAGGAAATTCATCATTGAGCTTGGTGTCGTTCCTAGTATTGTTGGACCAATGGACTTATATTGTGATGACAATGGAGCCATTGCACAAGCCAAGGAATCTAGATCACACCAAAAATCAAAGCATGTACTCAGGCGATATCGTCTCATTCGAGAGATAGTCAATAGATGTGACGTCAAGATATGCAAAGTATCAACAGATACAAATGTGGCTGACCCGCTCACCAAGCCACTACCACAAGCAAAGCATGAACGTCATACTAGTGCATTATGCATTCGTTTTGTTCACGATTGGTCCTAGTGCAAATGGGAGACTGTTGGAAGTATGCCCTAGGACAATCATACTTTATGATTTATCGATGAATATTTAATGCTCATTAATTAATAAAGTCACAAACTCATTTTATGTTAATTATTATCTTGAGTTTTATTTATTAATATTTAGTCCATGAATATTATGTTTACTAGCTAATTAAGTACGTGACTTAATTGTGGAATGCTACACTTTAAAATAAACATAATATTTTAATTGTCCCTGGTCTAATATTATTAATTTGGGACATTAATTATTAATAGACCAGTATGTGGATTAACTGATGGCTATATTCCACTAGTCATGTGTATAGAGATATCAAGTTAATAACATAGATGCTTGTTAGTGAACAAGTTCATTGGATAGACCCAACTTGAGGACACTGCTAGGTTATATGTCATCAGTGTTGTCCTCAATAATGATGAGATGATATATTCTTATACTTGAGATAATCATGGTTACTTGCATGTGAATTAATATGTATTAACACCATTAATTGTTATCTTTAAACGAGCTGAGTAATTTTAAAGGTGGTGATTGTACATATTATGAACCATGTAGTGGTATGTGAATTATCAAGATAGTTTTTGTCACTCTCGTATAGCGAGAGAAAGATATCTATTGGGCCCATTGACAAGTAAGATTAATTAGCATGACCATGCTCAAATGAGGTGTCATTTGTTCAAAATTAATCTTACTTGGTAATCAAAAAATATTAATTGAGAATAACAAGGATGACACGACCTAACATTGTCTCAATTAAGATATCGTTTGACAAAAGAGAATTATTAGCACAAATTAATCATTAAAAGGTTATGTCAGATTTAATTGACATTTACATATTTTGAATAGTCATAATGCCTTGCTAGAGACCGCTTATGATTTCTGAGGCTTGAATTAATTTTCTATCCCACTGTCAACGATATATAAACCTACAGGGTCACACACCTAAGTGATTTGGATCATTAATGTTCGTTAATAACATTAAAATAGCCTGATTAACCCAATTCGAAGTAGGTTTTCAAATGATATTGGGCTAGGGCCTCCAGGAGAGTTTTATTAGCTATAAAACTCCTTCTTTCCCCCTCTTATAAATAGGGCTAAGGAGACCCATGGATTTCAAGAGTTAAAATTCACATCTCAAAACCTAGAGAGAGAGAGAGAGAAAGAAGAGAACGCTAGCACATTCCCTGTGGCCGATCCAGTCACGTGCGTGTGGATACCAGTAGAGCTCGAGATTGTTTTTTCGGAGTGTCGTACATCCTTGCTTAAGATTGCTATGTAAGTCCCTCTTATATCTTGTAATTTCATTTATAGTAAGAACCTCAGATCCAGTTGTTTACTTTTGGGCAATATTTTTTTTTTGTTTATTCTGCTGAGTTTTTCTACCTGAAACTCAACACGTAGCACACTAGCACTACTAGTAGGGCTGTTAACGAGTCGAGCCCGAACACCCAAAGCTCGAGTTCGGCTCGATAAAGAATTTGTTGTGTTTGGGTTCAAGCTCGAAGCTCGACAAGCTTTAGAAATGAGGCTCGTGTTCGGCTCGATAGGCGTTCGATGTTTGAACCGAGCGCTCAATAAGCTCGATAAATATGCTCAAATTTAAAATTTTAGGTGATGCTCGTTAATAGGCTCGTGCTCGAATCATTCGACAAGTATTCGGTTCATTAATAATCATATTTAAACTCATAAAATCATACTAATTATATTTAAATTTTGACATACAAGTATTCGATAGGCTTGAGTTCGAACCGAGCTGAATACTACTATGTTCGAGCTCGGCTCGATTAGTTTTTCCAACTTAAAACTTAGGTCGGGTTCGAGTTCGAAAGCTCGTTAAGCTCGACTCGTAGGTTCGAAACTGAGCTCAAACTTGAATAGTTCGATAAATGCTCGTTTCGTCAACAGCCCTAACTACAAGCATACTTTCACTAAACAAAGTTACATAGGACTACAAATGTCATACATAAACATAAACATAAAGTGTACTACATACTAAAAATATGTAGTATCTTAAATTTTAATTACTCAAATAGAGCTTATTGATAAAGATGTGACAAAAGTTACTATAAGCACGGGTATATGTCATCACAATCATGGTCGGAAGTAGGGGGGTCAGACGGGCCCTATCTCACCCTAAATTTGAAAATTCTTTGTATTTTTAGTCAAAAAATCTATGTGTAAAATTTTATTTGAAAAAGTTCTTTGTACTGGTTCACCCCAACCTTCTATTCTAGTTACGCCCCTCTTCACAATCACTTTGTTGTAAAATTCAATATACAACCAGCAATGGAATTTCTTAGGGGTGGACATAAAACTCGAACCGAACCGGTACCGAACCGTCCCGTAATGGTACCGAACCGAATATCGGGTATTTAGACGGTTCTATAGAATTGTATCTCGTACCAAAACCGTACCGTTTAAAACGGGTACGGGACTGGTCCTAGATTTTGAGAACCAAAAAATACCGGACCGAACCGTTCGAAAATAATGCATTTGAATTTTTTATATTTTTTCTATACCAATAGATCTCTTTTATAGACTAACAATTTTATAGCCCAAGTATGTATTCATGTGTTCCTAAGATATCTAAATGTGTGTGTTTATATATGTATTGTTATTTTTTCTTTTCAGATAATTTATGTTATACTTTGTTATGTATTGAAAGAATATTAAAATTTTAGAAATCATTAATGATACTCATTTCTAGTAATGTAATGTCCATGACTTTTTGTTGTATCATGTTTGTACAATTTTTACAACTTAATTAATATGGTTTAAATCTTAGCTCTCAAGGTTCAACTATAAATTAAATTAGAACTAGGGAGTAATATTTAACCTAGAACGAAGAAGAACGTTGACGATTTCTATCATATTCAACAATTTGATGATATTCGTTTTTATATTTTCACATTAACTTAGTAAACTAAAGATGATATTTATCTCGTGCGTCATCGTTTTTCTATACTTTTTCTTAGTTGTGTTGCACTATTTGTGTATTTGTGAATATTAGTACTATGTATGCAATTTCTTGTATTTATATCAACATTTCACGCGAGTTGATTGGTGTGATGATATCTACTAATTGCAAGTTTTGTTCAAATTTTTAGCATGCGTTTGACATTGTACCGTACCATTTTGTACCGTTCCGAAACGACATGGTACCGAACGGTTCTATCCTTGGAACCGGACCGTACCGGATTATTAAAAACCTCACGGATACATTACTACGGGTTTTATCAATTTACCGGACCGTTCCGAATCGCGCCCACTCCTAGAATTTCAATTTCAATTTCTGTTATTTTTTTTATTCAGAATTACACTGCTCCTTAATTTTAGTGAAATCGTGGAACGCCTGTTTCGAAAATGGAATCGCCCTGGCGAAGAAATCGAATCGCCGGCGTCTATTAATTTCTGGAATAATATAAAATTCATACTCCTCCTCTGCTCTGCTACGTGTATTGGTACTGCCATCAATGGATTTCTGGAGAATCAAGAAACTGAGTCAAATGGTCAACGGCCACGATGAGGAGGCCAGGCTCCTCCGCCGTTTTGCCCCCATTCAGGCCCTGCAGATAAGGTCCGTCTTCTGTCCTACCGGCCTCCTCTACCGGGAAGTCCTTGTCTACTCACCAACGGCGCCTTTTACTGACCCGCCGTCGTGGATCACCTTGAGAGAGGCGGAGGACCGCCTCCGCGTATTACTGAGGCATGAAGAAGCCGACCGCCTCTGCAGCCGAGCGGTGACCCGGTTGGGTCGGAAGATTACCACTGCCGATCTCTCCAAACTCCCCGTCGAGGAAATGCGCGTCTTGCGGTTGTCTAACGCCAAATACAAGTCTATCCCCGATGACCAGCACATTGTCGCCGCCGCCTCCGGCGTTGAAAAAACCGGCAACCGTCCTGGCAGGTCGACTTCATTTCTTGCGATGGGCAAGGAGTGGTGGATCGGGTAATGCGGGAGTAGAGATAATAGGAAGGGAAATTTTCGGAAATTGGAGATTTTTTGGGTTCTTCTATGGTACCAAGATAAATTAGAAGGTTTCGGTACCCATATTTTTTTAAACCAATCGGAATACAAGAAATTGTCACCTCACATTTGTATTTGCAATTTAATGCCTCCCGAATTCCTAGTTATGGGATGAGAAAGAAAGTTAAACATTCATGCTTGCACATACATCTTGTTTTAAGTGGAAAATAGAAAATAGTTGATTGACATCTGTCATCAACCTTAATTACAGGAAATCATCTACTTCTTATATACTACGGGTCCTTTAACAAACAGTGCCATCTTCCTTGAAATCATCTTGCTGGTTCGTTGAAATCCTTCTGGCAATTAAAATCCCTAAAACATGAATTGAGGCTTGATTCGTTTCTTAAATCCTTGAAAGGACCAATATAAATCTTTGGATTTTTAGCATCAAATCAAATCCCGACGGAAACCCTTGTGCTACTGATGTCCAATGAAACCCGACGCAATACCCTGTGCCCCCCAAAGACGACGCGCCTGAAAGCTCATTCGATAGTTGTTGGCCTAAAATCGTTTAGCCCTGAGCCCCATTCCTTTGGCCTAGAGTTTGTCTATAATGGGCGGCGTGTAGGATTTCTGGGGCGGTGGCTTGGTGCGACGACTTGAATGGTGGAAATGGTGGCTTGGTCGTGGTTGGGCGGATTGGGGACCGGAGGTGGCTGGGGACAGGTCAGGGGGTGGGGTGGGATAGGGGCTGTGTTTGTGGTGCTAAGGCGTGGGGATGGGTGGGGCAGTGGTAGATGGCAGTGGCGATGGAGAAAAAGTCGTTGAAGATTGCTTGTCACCGTGGAGATGTCACTCCGGCGGTGTTACTGTGGCCGGCGACGGTAGTGACAGGAGCGATGACGACGATAGTGACATGGCGATGGCGGGAGTGACATCGAAAAGTGACATGAAAATGATACACTGATATGAATATTTGGATGTCACTTTGTTTTAGTTACATTTTTGTCTAAATGTAATTGTGGTCACATTTTTGATAATTAGCTTTGGTTTAGTAATATTTAGGGAATAACCCCTAATCAGATTCATATCTTGATATCGGATTATTTTAGCAAATAATCTCATTAAATAATTTATGTCACTCAACGATAATTTTCTAAAAACTGTCATGTCACTAACTTAATCTCTTAATAATTGTTAAGACTCGAGGTTCCATCCTAAAAGATCAACTTGATAGGAGGAGTAGTCAAAGCTTCATATAGTGTTTAATTGTTTTATAACTTTCCGGTGTGGGACAAATGTTTTGACAATAATCCTAGCAATGAAGATGCCCTTGTACTCAAATTTCAACCACAAGTTTACATTTTTCATCCACTTTATTAGTAATCGTGACAAAAGAAAATGAGACGCATAAAATATGACGGAGGTAGTATTGTTTTTGTTTTTATCATAACAAATATTGAGTACTTCTAAAATTCATGCGTTAGAGCAATAAAAAAAATCACGTGTTAGGCAATTAATTTTTTATTTTAAAAAATATAAAACAAGCTTTTCGAAATTGGAATAAAGTATTTGCTGAATTTTGATTGAGTTAGTTTCTCCTTAAATCTCATGTAAATTGCGTATGCAGTTTTCCTTTTTATGAGCGGTGCAACTGCATTTTTAAAAAAATCTGATTGGTGTATAAACTGAGGTATCTAAACCTTCGAAATTTTGGAATGCACGGTAGAATTTTCCAGATTTTTTTTGTGATGTTTCAAACAAATTCGAGATTTTTTTGTCAGAAGTTTTGTAGCTAGTGCCAAAATATTTTTACTTTAAATAAAAATGGCTGTCTTATTGTAGAATTCATGCGTATGTAAGACAATTTATACGGAGTATAAGCTATGTTTGCAAATACTTCCTCCGTCCCATTTTACTTGGTCAATATTGACTTTTCAAATCAATAGAGTCTAACTTTGACTGATTATATGTTTGTATAGAGAAAATATTAATAATATGAAAATGTTCTTTGTTAAAAATACTATCATAAAAGTATAAAATTATTAAATTTTGCATAAATATATTAGTTTGAATAATTGGTCAAAGTTTATCATCTTTGACTGGAAAAGTCAAAGATGACTAAGTAAATTGGAAAAAGCTAAAAAGGTGTTTGGAAGGATAAAATTCTACTTCATTTTAAGTGCTTTAAGCTAAAAGCTCAAAGCACCTCCAAAGATGCTTTTATACGTGCACAGGTAGCTCAGTTGTTTCAGTGCTGGAAAATTTGGAACATTTACCAATGTTCAAAAACCTGCAGTGGTTGTGTGGAGGTTACAACTCCTGCTTGCTGGGCTGGATGTCCGGTGCGCACATGTATAAGACCTATCATCATTGGATTGACTGAGTTACCGTGACTAACATCCTCCCTAAAATCCTGTCAGATCGGATGTGGTGGAGCCCTTGGGATTGGGGATTTAACCCTTTTTAGAACATTTAAATGCATAAATGGCCCTTGAACTATCATCAGCATATCATTTTGGTCCTCGAACTATTAAATCTATCATTTTAGTTTTTAGTCTATTTTATCTATATTAATCGACTTCTTCCGTTAAATTTGCCTTTAACTTTGATTGAAGCTAATTAATTATTAACATCTCATAATTTTAAACATTTTGGAACAATACAATCATTCTTAAAATTTTAGTAGTTTTATCTAGTTTTTTTAAATATACATATATGTACACATACACATATAAAAATTATAAATAAATAATATAAAATCAAATTTACGGCCTAAATAACACGTATTATATAATAGAAAATCAAACAATCCATTATATACATGAGCAGATAAAATTAAATAAAAAAACGAGGATGATTGTTATTATTATTAATTATATTAAGAAAAAAATAAAACTATTAATATAACTCATCCACTTTCTCAATACATGACCTCATTAATAAAATAAAACTATTAATATAACTCATCCACTTTCTCAATACATGACCTCATTAATATAATCAATAATAATAACAATCATCCTCGTTTTCTTATTTAATTTTATCTGCTCATATGTATATAATTGATTATTTAGTACGTGTTATTTAGGCTGTACAATTGATTTTATATTATATATTTATAATATTTGTATGTGTATGTGTACATATATGTATATTTTAAAAAAAATGGATTAGCTACTTAAATTTTAAGAATGATGCACAATTTTAACTTGGAGTGGACCTTATAAGACATATTCTGAAGAGAATTGTCGGATCGATAGTTCTCGTCTTATGAGCGCATCCTCTTGGTCAGTCATCTACATAAACACTTAGCTTTGCATGCCCCAAATTCCATCATCAACTCGTTCGTTCCACAACATTAATTAACAAATTCAATATAGGTCAATTTCTGCCATGCACTATCAACTTTGATTCATCAATACAATTTGCACGATAGAAATTTTAATTACCAATCTAGGATGTGAAAGATAAGTTGATAATTTCTTTATTACATCTTAATACCCATTTTAATTATTTACATAATTAATGGAGCCAATTCGGATGTAAATTAAATACGTGTGTCACATATTTAATCATTATATTGTACGTGGAACCAAGCAAATTAATCTTAATTAATTTTGCATTATATTATATATTATTATGCAGGATTAGCGTGCCTTTGCCATTTCAATGGGGAGCTCCTACCTTTAATGCAGGCGACGTTTTTGCAATTCTAGCCTCTTATTTTGTCTCTTCCATTGAGGTTAATTACTAACATATCATATTTAATTATTGTGCATATATACATGCATAGATTAGGCGAAGAGATATGAATAAATATAATCTAAAACATTTTTTCATATCTCTTCTCCAATTCTTCCTAAATCCTATTCTTAATTCTCTACTCTCTAATTCTCTTATTCTCCAATATATTATATTTATTATTTATATATCTACTTTATTTTAATTTTCTACTTATAATTTATAAATACATACATTATAATATTATATTACTTATATTTGTTATCTAATTATATATTACTTATACATTTATTATATCTATTAATATAGTTGGAATTATATCTAATTAATTTGAAATCATTCTATTACTCCCATCCGAAAGACTGAAAGTCCTAAAGAGGTAGAAATCATTCTATTATTTACACTTGTTTAATTTTGTATTAACGTTATTTGAAAAAAAAAACTAGTTAATTCTCATAATAGTTAAAGTTAAACTATAATAATTTGATTGTTAGTAAAAAAATAGGTTGTACAAAAAACTAGTTGTAATTCTCATTATAGTTAAACTTAAAGTGTATTAATTTCGTTGTTAATAAAAAAATTTGGCTGTACACAAAACTAGTTAATTAACTAGTTAATTTGATTAAAGTAAACTTTAAAATACTAATTTGCTATAACTCGAATTAATAGTTAGATTAATATTTAATTACTTTATTACAATTTTTTATTAATTGCTACATTTGACTCTAGTTTAAAAAACTAGTTAATTCTCATTATAGTTAAAGTTAAAGTATATTAATTTCATTGTTAGTAAAAAATTAGGTTGTACACAAAACTAGTTAATTCACTAGTTAATTTGATTAAAGTAAACTTTAAAATACTAATTTGCTATAACTCCAATTTTTTATTAATATATTTTTATTAATATATTTGTTGCAATTTAATATTTGTTACATTTTTTAGATAGATCGTCCTAGATATTCGGTTGATATGGGTAACCTCGAGCGCAACCGAACGAAAGAGCGTGCGTGGAAGAGATTCCGCAAAGTTAAATCACATATCGGTTCTTCATCTCAAAGTCGAGATGATTTTGATACTGGTTATGCAAGGAGGGATGTGGATGCGATGACCGACGAACAACTAGAACAAGAATTGCACCGACATAATTCCCGCTTTTTTCAAGACCAACCGAGGATCATTGACGAAGAAGAGCTCGAGGACGACGATGTGGAGGAAGTAATTCCGGAGAGCCACGACGAGGAGGAGGAGGGTGGCAGCAGCCATGACGCCGACGAGTTTGCCTCATCCCAAACCGGTACGAAAAAGTAAATCTGAACTCATGACTAATAATTTTTCTAAGTGGAAGGATCCGAACACCGGGAATTGGACCGCAACTTGCAATTGGTGCAAGAAAAACTATAGCTTGGGGATTTCCGGAGGATACAGATCCGCCACAAGACATCTTAAGTCCAAACACCCGGTGGAGTATGCAAAATTAGGCGGCGGAACGGGGAAGCAAACTCAAATATCGAGGTTTGCAAATAACCAATAAGCTTTTGGTAATTTCTCATACAATGATGCACAAAATTTGACTGGTATGACTAACTTACTTGTTGAAGAAAAATTGCCTTATTTATTTTATGAAAGTTTTGCTTTTCGTGATTATGCACAAACTTGTTTATATCCGCAATATAGAGGTTATAGTCGCAAAACGGTTAAAAAAGAAAGAAACAATGGCCTACATATTACTCGTTAACTTTCATTAGACAAAAATATGACTAAATTAGGAGTTGACAAAATAGTGATCGAACAATTAAATCCCACAACAAATGGACGCTTGCAGATCGACGCTCAATCCTCTTCTTCCGCCCAACTAGTCCGTCTTCGCCTAACATCTCACAGGCCTTCCATGGCTTCTCGACCGCCTCCCACCTTCTCCCATGCCCTACACGCCGCATGCAGTCGATCTCCTCCCCTAAGCCTCCTCCACGCCGGCGACGCCCCCACACCTCAGGATGACATCAGATCTCCACCGTCTTCTCTCTACTTCTCCGACATGCCGCCAGATCTACACCGTAAATCTTCACCCCGTCTGCATCGCACGTTGTCACCGTTGTTCCAGTGTCCCCCTTTCCTTTTCTTCTCTTTCTCAATCTCCGTGATGGCACTGGTCGGAGGCGATTTCAGATCGCGATTGGATGCGACGATTGCTAGCCACTATTTCGCCACCGCTCTAGGGTTTGTGGCGGTGCCAGGGCCTGAAAGGTGTTGGCAACGATTTTGTTCAAGATGGGGGTGGTGGCGAGTTTGATGGGCTGACGGAGCTGGGTGGAGGGTTGGGGTGGGCTGGAGAGGCAGATGTGGGGGCTCATTGGGGCTGAGGAGGGGTTTGGGGAGCTATTACCACCGGCGGTAACCGACGTGCGGTAACGATTACCATCGCCGCTGGCAGTTGGTGCAGGGGTGGTGGTGTCACAGGGAGCTGATGGGTTGGGGAGGGGCTGGAAGGGCTGGGGAGGGGGCTGGTGGGTTGGTGAGGGGGTTGGGAGGTGGCTGGTTCGCTGGGGAGGGGGTCAGGTGGGTTGGGGAGGGGAGGGGGTAGGGGTAGTAGGTTGCGGTGTCGGCGGCAGCATGGCAGCAGTTTACGGAGCGGAGGACACATAATATTTTCACCGGAAATTGCTACCGGAAACTTTTCCGGTAGCATAGTGACATGATTACCAGAACAGTGACACAATTAACGGGACAATGACACACATAAATGACAGAAATATCTAATAGTGACAATTGATAGTGACATACAAAAATCGCAGTGACATAAAATTGTTGCAGTGATATAATCTTTTTCCAAAAATATGACCTTTTTACTCACATTTTTGTCTATATTTAAAAGTAGTCACATTTTTGGAAAATGCCTTCAATTTAGTAATATTTAGGGACAAACCCCAAAAAGAAATTTCAAGGCTTTATGGTGCGGAAAAGGCAAAGTTACAAAACTATTTTGCAAACTTTGATGGGCGTGTTACTGTATGTTCTGACATATGGGAGGAGGTATTATCATAATTTACATTATTTGGGTCTGACTGTACATTATATTGATAATAATTGGCATATGCATAAACGTGTTCTTGCTTTCCGTGAATTTAATGATCGTCACACCGTTGAACATATTTATATTTTGATTGAGCGTATTTTAATTGAGTATAATTTAATTGATAAGGTGGTTTTTATTGGTTTTGATAATGCTACTAATAATACTGCTGCTATTCCTAGATTGCGTGAATTGTGTGGTTCTACTTCTTTGATGAGTAGATTTTTTCATCAACGATGTGCATGTCATGTTCTAAATTTATGTGTGCAAGATGGTCTAAAAGCGTTGGGAGCATTGTTGGAGGTAGTCAAGGGGGGATTAAATGTATTTGGGGTAATGGACAATTTAGGAAAAAATGACATGATTATTTGATAGAAAGAGATGATAAATATGTGTCTTTTCCTAAAGATTCGTTGGAATAGTACCTATAAGTTAATTGGAGTTCTTCTTACATATAAACAACATTTTCCTGCTTTTATGAAACAATATGATAACTATATAAACTCGGCTGAGATCGACACCTGTGAAAAAATTTGTAATGCTTTGATATATTTTAATAATGCAACTGAAACTTTTAGTCATGTTTGTAAACCTACCTCAAATCAATTTATTCATGAAGCTGTTAATCTCGCCGGTGCTTTTTCAAATTTTGACAATGCTGATTATGTGAGTTATTTTGCTACTTTTATGAAGGAAAAGTTTTTAAAATATTATTCACATATTCCGCATATTTATGGTATTGCATTTGTTCTCGATCCTCGTTTTAGACTTGGTTCTTTAGAAGAATGTTTGAATTATTATTATGCTGCTTTTTTTGGTCCATTGCCAATGTATGAAGACAACCCAATTGATCTGAAAAAAGAATACAACGAGGTTAGTGATATATTTTATTCATTATTTAATGAGTTTCATGCACAATATGACAATGTGCCCCCTTCCCCGACACAAACATCATCTAAAGGAAAATCAATTTTCCAATCTACATTTGCCAATCTTATTAAAAAAACGAAATCAACCCCCACTACGCAACAAAGCACAATTAATGAGATTTCTTTGTATTTAACATATGATGTTGGTTTTGAAGAAGATGATGATTTTGACGTACTAAACTGGTGGAAGGGAAAAGAAAGAATGTTCCCGGTTTTAGCAAAGATGGCTAAGCAAGTGCTATCAATGCCAGTTTCAACGGTTGTCGTGGAACAAGAATTAAGTTCGGCCGGCAATGTCCTAACGCAATGTAGAACTAGGTTGAACGCAGAATCTCTTGAGATGCTTATATGCTACCACGATTGGTTCAAAGCGGCCCGTAGACCTCAAGATTTTGACATCACCCCATCCCAACACTTTATGGATGAATCTACAACCGAGGGTGGCTCTACCTATGCCGGAGATTCCGATTGAATGATTGATTAGTATTTCATGTTTTAGTTTTACCTTCAATTCTCAATTGTAACTTGTAAACTTGTAGTTCATATTTCAAATAAATATAAGTTCATTTTTTATATGTAGCATTTTTTTTTGAATTCATAAAATTAATTAATTAATTTTACATTATGTAATTTATTCAAAATAAAACATACAAAAAAAATTTGAAATCAAAAGCCCCAAACGGCTCTATTGAAATTTGAATCAATAGAGGCATAGAGCCGTTGGGGGTGGGGGTGGGGGTACATAAAATTCGATAAATACTCTTATTTTCTAACATTTTTATACACATCTTCTCCAACATTCAATCTGTAATCTTCATTCTCCAATCTCCATCCTCATCTCCATCTATTATAGATTTAGTATATCTACCATTTTTAAGATGGAAAGTCAAGATGCCATTATACGGTATAATTTTGATAAGCAGAAGTACCCGAAGATCAGGATGTGGTACGCAACTTGCAAATAGTGTGGGAAAAAATGTAGCATGAGGGTTTCAGGCGGATACGGGATGAAAATGAAGCATATTAAGTCGTGTGACAAAGCCAAAGGATCGGGAGGTGCGGGAAGTTCCGATTGATTACATTTTACAAAATATATGTCTCTTGAAGTTTGTTTTAATTTTCAAACGTAGTTCCTATTTCATTTCAAATAAATGCACTTGAAGTTTGTTTTTAATACTTGTATAAAACTATAAAGTATAAATTATAAAAAAAATACTTTAACCGGCCAGGCCTGGCCCGGCGGGTGGCCCGTTCCGTGACCTGGACGGATGGCCCGGCCCGAACCGGACCCGTCCAACCCTCGGGCCTGTCCCGGGTCCATGAGATACAAACCGGCAGCCTTACCGGGCCCGACTCAGCCCGAGTCGACCTCTACTCTACACTAATTCCATTTAACTAACAGGGGTCAGTGAACTGATTGCTTGATTTTAGTATGTTATTGTGCTCCAAAAGTGTCTTGAGATATACTTTGATTTTGTTATTGTGTAGTGTAGTGTACTCATTGCATGAGTCGAATATTTCAGTTAACGTTACTTGGTTCATTTTTTATAGTCCAAAATTAAAGAACTTATTGTGTCCATGGAATGATGTCAAAAGCTTATTGTGGTTACCTAAGTTCGATAATGAAAATTGGTGGAACAGAAAAGCATAGTACAACCTTAAAATCAAACACACTTCTATCCCACAGCCTATATCCTTTTACCCCATCAGGATAGCCCGAGAAAATACATTTCTTAGATCTGGGATCTAATTTGTTAGATTTCTAATGAACATAGGTAGCACACCCAAACACTCTAAGGTTAGATAGATCAAACAGTCCACCAGTAAGTTTAACTTCTGGGCATTGACCTCCTATGGGAAACAGAGGGACACCTATTTATCAGAGAGGTGGTAGTTCTAACTACTTCACTCCAAAACTTCTCAGGCAAATCTGAGGTAGACAACATACTTCTAATCTTATCTAAAAGAGTTCTATTCATCCTTTCAACCACCCTATTCCATTGGAGGGTGTAAGGGACAATCTTATGTCTCCTGATGCCATAAGAGGCACACAGTTGGTCTAGTTCTTTGTTGCAGAACTCAAGGCCATTGTTAGTCCTAAGGGTTTTTTCACATTCTTTCTTGTTTGATTTTCTACAAGTAATTTCTAGGCCTTAAAGTTCTCAAAAACATCACACTTATGTTCTAGAAGACAGACCCAAACTTTTCTAGAAAAATCATCAATGGGGGTAAAATAGCTTTTGCCCCCATGGGTAGGAACACTAGCAGGCCCCCAAACATCAGAATGCAAATATTCAAGCACAGAAGAACACATTCACATTTTGATAAGTGGATAGAGGGAATTGAACTCTATGTTGCTTATCAAGCACACATGATTCACAGAAAGTCAAAGGATTCACAAAGTCTTTACCAAATAATCATGTTTATGCATAATACCTAAAACCTTATTGCTAATATGTCCTAGACTATTATGCCACAACAAGGTCTTATCACCATATAAAGCATTCACAGAGTCAGTATAAGATTTAGCATGAGACACATACGTGTTATTTATCATTTCCGCTTTAAATAACACAAGAGATTTTTTCCAAAATTCATGTAACCATTCCCCCATTTTCCCTCTAATCCACTACCCTCCAAGGCAGCAACAAATAAAAAGTTATGACATAAGTCAGAAACATGCCTCACATTCTTGATAGTAAGCACACAACCACAAGAAAATTTAGGACATATATCACCCACACCTAGGCCGACATTAATGTATGGCGTAGAGTGTTGGGCGGTGAAGCAATGCCACATTCAAAACATGAGTGTGACAGAGTATTTTGCGTTGGATGTGTGGACATACCAGAAAAGACCGTCTGAGGAATGAGGAAATCAGACAAAAGGTGAGAGTAGCACCTATAGAAGATAAGATGCAGGAGTCTCGTTTGCAGTGGTTTGGGCATTTGCATAGAAGACCGAGTGATGCACCTGTTAGACGACTTGAGGGGTGGGGAGAAGAGTCAGAGAAGAGAGGGAGGGGAAGACCCAAACAGACTTGGATTAGTGTAATCAGAACTGATATGCGTCTTCTTGGGTTGGATGAGAGTATGACTTTGGAGAGAGCAAACTGGAGGGCGCACATCCATGTGGACGATTGATGTCTTGTCTACCTTTCGTCTCTTGTTTCTTTTATCGTTTATCTTCCTTATCTTTTTATATTCTTATGTTATTTTTATCTTCTAGCTTTTTTATGCTCTTTTATTTATTTTCCTTTTATCTTGATTATATTTTTGTGTTATTGTTATCTTATATTTATGTATCTTTATTTTATTCATTTTATCTTACTTTTTTTTCCTTTTCTTGTCCGCCTTCTCTTTTTGGCATCGATATCATAGATCGATTCATATTAGCCGGCCCCAACAAGGAATTAGTGCTTCTTTATTATTACACTAATGGGAAAAACACACTTTTGATCCTTTAAATAGTCACAAAATGTCATATCTGTGTTTCTGAGATTGTAAATGTCAATCCCAATTTTATGTTTAAATTAATGATTTTTTATACGGGAATGATATGTATTTTGATCTTACTTTTTCATTCATAAAATCAATTATCAATTATATAGATGCATATCTAAGTTTGGTACTCATATACTTCGTACTACGTATTAGAAATCTGTTTCAACGTTTTAATCATAATAAATCAAATTCCCAAAATTTCAGCCGGAAAAAATCTATTGTGAAGATCCAAGTAATCTTTAAAAAACTACTCTTTAATTCATACTCAAAGGAAGTGGAAGTGGAAGTGTGGAACACCTATTTCGAAAATCGAGTCGCCGCGGCTAAGAAATTCAATGGCCGCGGCACATTCCCAGAGGGTTTTGATTACGCCGTTCTTTAATGCCGCCGGCATCTATTCATTTCTGGACTAATATAAAAGGCATACTACTCTTCTGCAGGGACGGATCCAGGATTTCGAATCAAGGGGGGGCGCAAATTTTCATTAGTGTTGGAGATAAAAAATTCATTAGTGTAGCGGGGTGGATTTTTTTTTCTAGTGTTGCGGGGCGAATTTTTTCACTGGTGTAAGGCTCTGCGGCTATTTTTATTCAAAAAAAAATTCATTAATACATATGTGACGACATTTAAATCTACATATTACATTCTAAGTTTAGACAATGACAAAACAACTTTAATTTTATAATTGGAGTGCTCTAGAAAAAAGTATTGATACATTAAAACATAAGAAATGACAAATCAATGGAAAATAATACAAAAATAAAAAAAGATATATAACATTTTATTTAAATATAAAGAGTTTATAAGGTTCACATTCACGAATACTTTTAAAATAATTTCAACATTGTTTAACTACATGAGTCTTATAGAAATAAAGAATTGATTTTTGAATTACAATTTTTGTCTATCATTGAGGGTGTTCATAAGTCACAAGCAGTTCTTTTAATATTACAATAGTATGTATGATATTATTATTTTTAGAATAATATTATATTGATAATTCATATATATATATATATATATATATAGTGCATATTATATTTGTATTAATGCTAAAATAATTAAAGTTTATTATCTATGCAATAAAGTCTTTTTAGAATGTAAGAAGTAAATGAATAGTGTAATTCAATGTCAATAAACATTTATAATTTGGATTACTTCACATGATCTAAAAACTTTGTAGCTAGAGTGTCTGGTATTTAATATCGTTTGATATATATTTTTCAAAATTGTTTACTAGTTATCGAATAAATATAATTAAACATTACAAAATTAAGAATTTTTATATAATAAGTATCCTAAATCTCAAATAATGAGTTCTTCTATTGTTTATTTAAGTTATGTAAATTATTTTAGATGTTCCTTTTTTAAATCTCCGATTAAGTATTACATTATGTAAGACTATATATCAATTTTAAAAACTAAAAGTTAAGGGGGGCAATGTTCAACACAAAAATTAAGTGGGGCGAATTTAATTAAAGTATCAAAATTTTACAAAAACATTACATATATAGTAGAAAATTTTGAAAGTCCAAGGGGGCGATCGCACCCTGCGCCCCCCTTAAATCCATCCCTACTCTTCTGCTCTGCTTCGTACATAATACTATGGAGTTATGGAGAGTCAAGAAACTGAGTCAAATGGTCAACGACTACGATGAAGAGGTTAAGCTCCTCCGGCGTTTCGCCCGGATTCGCGCCCGGATGATAAGGTCCGTGTTCGGCACCACTGGCCTCCTCTATCGGGAGGTTCTTGTGGACCCGAAACTGGGTTCGACCGACTCGGCCACATGGATCACAATGAAAGAGGCGGCTGACCGCCTCAGCATATCAGACATGCATGAAGAACACGCCCGCCTCTGCCGGCGTTACCACGGCTGATCTCGATGACCTCCCCGTCGAGGAGTTGCGCATCTTGCGGTTGTCTCGGACCGAATACAAGTCCATCCCCGATGGTCAGCGCATTGTCGCTGCCGCCTCCGGCGTTCAAAAAAAGGGCAACCGGCCCGATGGGTCGAGCTAAGTTCTGGCGACGG